GCCCGCCCGCCCGCTCACGTGATAACATAATACGTCCCCGTCTTCGACGGGCGTATAATCATAGATGTCCAAGGACTGAAAATCTCATAGAGTATATATACAAACATAACTATTATGAATGTCACATTATAATGGGAAATCTAATAGTGCAGGCAACGTTTATGATATCAAATGGCAAGCTTTTCACAGTATCATTTTCAAGAACATTGACAATATTTCCCTGCACATTAATGTGTTATATGGAGATTTCTCACAACTGTTTGAAATCAGTATATTTTCTAGATAAGTGTTAATTTTGAACTAAACAGAAATCGTTTTAAGTTTTGAATTATTTCCATTGAACAAGCGGTGCAAATATTCAATAAATCCGAAACTATCCTCATAAGTAGGAAATGAAACCCTCCTAATCACCCTCTCTTACATGTGAACCGAGTTCCTATAAATAACGTATCTTTCCATCAGCACCTCAGAGTCTTTTTCTCCTCAAACGGTAGTTGGTCAGATCATGTCAATTACATCATCTCTAAAACCTCACCTAAGCTCAACCTCATGCAAACCTTAAAATTCCAGCTTGATAGAATTACTTAACAATCAATATATTTTTCATTTATAAGATCTCTACTTGAGTATGGAGATATAGTGTGGGGGAACATACCGAATGAGTTGGGAAAGAAACTTGAAAACCTCAATATTGAAGCTGCTCGAATTGTAACAGGTGCAACTAAATTAGTAAGCATTGACAAACATTTCAATGAATCAGCTTGGGTCAGTTTATTCGATCGGAAGCAAAATCATAAAATTATCAAGTTTGCACAATTGACCAGATGTGATCCTGAAAGTGTGTCACCCCTGTGACCTTGAATATGGGCAGTCATTCATTTGAACAAACTTGGTAGCCTTTCATCCCCACATACTACTGGCCAAATATCAACATTCTGGGCATTAATGGGAATTAAGAAGTCGTTTAAAAAACTTCAACATATTTGACCCCCGATACCTTAAATACAAGTAAAGGTCGTTCATTTGGACAAAGTTGGTAGCCCTTTATGCCAGTATGTGATTGGCCAAATATCATCATCCTGGACCGCTTGGTTATTCAGAAGTTGTTAAAAAGATTTTAACATATTTGACCCCTGTGACCTTGAAAATGTGTGAATGTCATTCATTTGAACAAACTTGGTAGTCCTTCCTCACAGCATGCTACTGGCCAAACACCATCACCCTAGGCCTGTTGGTTATTCAGAAGAAGTTGTTTAAAGTAAAAAGTTGATGTCAGACGGACGCAGGACGGACGAGGGAAGCCGCACCGTGGAATCATGGCCATTTGGGCCAGGTGAGCTAACTAGCACAGAGTATCACAATATCAAATTAAATTTAAGTCTTTTAGATTCCCATAGGACTTTTAAGAGATGTCATTTTAATGAGGATATTTTATAGCACTCCATCCCAAGTACCTACTGGCCAAATATTTTGACCCTTGGCCTTATGAAACTTGAGAAGAAGATTGTTAAAGCTTTGGTGAGGTAGGGGTGGATCAATATTAAACTGTATGATCCTGATCAAAATTCTGATCTCAATTGGACTAAAAATACAGGAACATAACATTTTCCATAGGGGGTACTTTTTGGTCAGGGTATAAAAAGAATCTGGGGGGTACATTTTGGTAGGGCGAACAAGGGGCCCAGAGGGCCTGTATCGCTCACCTGAATATGTTTAAAATAATTGGTATGAAGTAAAGACATAGCACTCCATGGAAGGTGCTGTAAGTCCATATGAAATTTCAGAAAGATCCATCAAGCACTTGAGATAGAGCGAGAACAAACTTCAAACAGAGCCCCATCCCTCTGCCCCTAGGGGGGGGGTCATACCCACCAATTATATAAAATTGAGTCCCCTTGACCCAAGGATAAAATCCTTTATTCCTGATGGTCGGAGAAGGATTTTAAAGGTTTTACCTCTATTTCTCCTATTGTGCCCCGCCCTTCAGCCCCCTGAGAGACCACACCCACTGCTTATACAAAATTGAGTCAACTTGGCCCAAGGATGCTCCAGACTAAATCAGGATAAAATCCCTAAATCCCGATGGTCGGAGAAGGATTTTAAAGATTTTACCTCTATTTCTCCTATTGGGCCCGCCCTTCTGCCCCCTGGGAGACCACACCCACTGCTTATACAAAATAGAGTTCCTTTGGCCCAAGGATGCTCCAGACTAAATTAGGATAAAATCCCTTAATCCCTACGGTAGAAGAAGGATTTTAAAGGTTTTACCTCTATTTCCCCTATTGGGCCCCACCTCTCTGCCTCCATGGGGGTCAAACACACCGTTTATACAAAATGTGTTCCCCTTCACCCAAGAGTGCCTCATACCAAATTTTGAAAAAAATCCTGTCATTCCTACAGAAGAAGGATTTTTAAGAATTTGCTCTTTCCCTTATTGGGCCCCTCCCTTCTGCCTCCAGGGGGGCCACACTCGCTGTTTAAACGAAATTGAGTCCCTTTTGCCTAGGGATGCTCCAGACTAAATTAGGATAATATCCCTTAATCCCTATGGTAGAAGAAGGGTTATAAAGGTTTTACCTCTATTTCCCCATTGGTCCCCGCCCCTCAGGTCCCATGGGGGCCACACCCACCGTTTATACAAAATTGTTTCTCCTTTACCCAAGGATGCTTCAGACCAAATATAAACCAAATCCTTTCATTCCTACAGAAGAAGAAGGATTTTTAAGAATATTTTGCTATGTTTCCCCTATCGGGCTCTGCCCTCAGACCCCTAGGGGGCCAACCCACGGTTTATACAAAATTGATTCCCCTTCACCCAAGAACGCTTCAGACCAAATATGGAACAAATTCTTTTATTCCTACAGAAGAAGAAGAATTTTAAAGAATTTGCTATCTTTCCCCTATTTGGCCCCGCCCCTCGGGCCCCTGGGAAGCCAGACCTACGGTATATACAAAATTGTTCCCCCTTTACCCAAGGATGCTTCAGACCAAATATGGAACAAATCCTTTCATTCCTACAGAAGAGGGATTTTAAAGAATATTTTGCTACGTTTCCCCTATTGGGCCCCGCCCCTCAGGCCCCTAGATGCCCAGACCCACCGTTTATACAAAATTGGTTCTCCTTCACCCAAGAATGCTTCAGACCAAATATGGACCAAATCCTTTCATTCCTACAGAAGAACAAGGATTTTAAAGAATTTGCTATGTTTCCTAAATTTTGCCCCGACCCTCAGGCCCCTGGGAGGCCAGACCTACTGTTTATACAAAATTGGTTCCCCTTCACCCAAGGATGCTTAAGACTAAATATGGAACAAATCCTTTTATTCCTACAGAAGAAGGATTTTAAAGAATTTCCTATGTTTCCCCTATTTGGCCCCGCCCCTCAGGCCCCTGGGGGGCCAGACCCATGGTTTATACAAAATTGTTCCCCCTTTAACCAAGGATGATTCAGACCAAATATGGAACAAATCCTTTCATTCCTACAGAAATAGAAGGATTTTAAAGAATTTGCTATATTTCCCCTACTGGGCCCCGCCCCTCAGCCCCAAGGGGGGCCACACCCATCATTTATAAAACAAGAGGCCCATGGGCCTTAACGGTCACCTGATATATTTATACAGAGAGTTGATTTTGTTTTTAACATGAACAGAGATATTATTCAAAGTGACAAAAAACAATAAAACCACCTTATTCAATATCTAGCATACAGATTTAAGACTAAAAAGTATTTGAAACTAGCACCTCTGACTCTAAACAAGAAAAATGAAGAAATTTTAGCACACTGACTCTTTGGGCCCCACCCTACAGCCCTTGGGGGTAGGGCTGGCTCAAAATTTTCGAAGTATCACAAACTGTCAACTCAAGGTTATAATTCCAATCAAGTTATTAACATGGAATATTCAAAGTATCATTTGCCATTATAAACCATAATAAATTTTGCCGCCCCCCCTCC